GCAGCAGAGTGTGAAGTGGCTGGGACGAGAATCAGCACCTCCAAATCTGAGGCCATGGTCCTCAACCAGAAAAGGGTGGATTGCTCTCTTCAGGTCGAGTGTGAGATTCTGCCTCAAGTGGAGGAGTTCAATTATCTCGGGGTTTTGTTCACGAGTGAGGAAAGAATGGAGCGTGAGATTGGCAGACGAACTATTGTGGACTCTGTACCTGTCTGTTGTGGTGAAGAGGGAACTGAGCTGTAGTGCAAAGCTCTCTGTTTACAGGTCACTCTATGTTCCTACCCTCACCTATGGTCATGAGCTCTGGGTAGTGACTGAAAGAATGAGGACACAGGCGATTGAAATGAGTTTCCTCTACAGGGTCATTGGACTCTCCTTTAGAGCTAGGGTGAGAAGTTCAGTCATCCTCCCTGCTCAAGCTGCTACCACCGTGACCAGACTTTGGAACAAGCGGAAAATGATGGATGGATATTTTGCTGAGCTTTGGCCTGTCAGAGCTCTTTTGACAATTAAAGCAAGTGGTCATAATGTTAGGTTACTTGATATGTTTTTATTAACTGTTTATATATCAAATCAAATATACTTTGTTTTTCTCATGAGGGAAGTTTCCAGGACTTTAAGTTCTACACTGCTGTGACAGAACATTATGTATCTATCAAAAAGAACATTGGAACATTTATCAAGTATTCAGATAAATTAATGTACAGTATTTCCTCATTTATCAAGGATGTTCCGTACCACCCCCCCAGACGATAAATGAAAAACTGCGAAGTAGGTATACAGTAGTCCAAGCTCAAGTACATAACATTTTGTCATGACATGTGCCAGGCTTCAATCACAATCATCACCTGTTACTCCCAAACTCCCTCCTTAAATAAACAATTTCAATACTATAATATTTTAAATAAACAATCCATGCAGCATGAGTTCTTTACTTAAAATATTACAGTATTTAAATTTAAATTGTAGAGAAGAGAAATGCAGCAGGACATCAAAGGGTTAACCTTTCACGTAGCTGTACAGCACGGAGCAGAAAAGTACTTCTTGATCAATTACACTGTAACAACTGGACATAGACGTTCTAAAATAATAAAAAATTAATTTTAACACTTATATTTTGTGATTATGACTATTTTACGATGTGACATATTTTGCATTTTAAGTTGGAAGACAAATGTCGATCGGTGCATCTGGACAGCAAAGGGTTAACTCTTCACAAAGCTGCAGCAGGAGAAATGTATGCGTGGCAGAGAGCGAAGGTCATGACAGGCTGCAGGAGGGAGCTTCCCCCTGCACTTGTGGTCTGCACACAGGGGTAAAAACGTTTTAAACAATTTATTGTAAATAAACAACCCATGGCTCATCCATCAATCATCCAATTGCGTCATGTCCAATCTTACTTTGAAAAACCACAATATAGTGAACCCATGAAAAACAAACCGCAAAGTAGCGAGGAACTACTGTACCATCAAATCAAAATGTCTATAAAACATTTATTTCAAGTCAGAGATGCTTTACGTAGCAGGAAAACTATAATATTACTAACATCTTTGGTTATTTTGTGCTTTGTATTGACCAAAAGGCTGCTGCATCGGCGCATTGATCACTCTAGCTCGTGGATTTCCCGGCATCACTTACAGAAAGGTCAGAAGAGGTAATGACATGCCTGACCCCCTTAGCTGAGAGCCAATATTCATTTCAATGAAATGCACAATTTTTCTGCTTGAAAAATCAGCTCACATTATCTGTATATGGCAATCCTCACATCATTAACAGATCAATACGATCAAGCTGCAGCCAGTGTAGCAGCTAATTGTGAGGGATTTGCTGTTAATTTGCTTCGAGTAATAACCTCTTTACTTACCAATAAGGTATTGAAATTGACCTGATAAGTCATGCATAGGCAATATAATGTTACATTTCTGCTGGTGTAAATGACAGCTGAAATAATTACACTAACATGTTATACATTCAGCATTCACTAAGCTGTGATGAATGTGCAACCGTGTAGCCCGTCTTTCTCTGATTATCTTCTGAACATGTGGATCTGTGGGTGTCACTGATAGACTGTGGCATTAAACTGACCCTCTCTAGGAGTGACAGCTATAAACCCTTGAAGCTAGGAGAGTACGTATGCTCTGTGAGCCTACAGAATCCATTTCTGCTGTGAGGAAGAAAAAATAATAATAAAAACCGCCTTTCAGCTCTTATCAGGAAGCTAGCAGAACGGGACAGATCACCTCCCACTGCTGAGCTATCAATGCAGAGTTAATTGCCTTGCAGAGTACAAGCAGGAAGATAGCATGTGTCTTCCTTTTTTGCTTGTTTGTTGCCTTTTTTTTTTTTTTTTTCTATTAAGCAGGGTGTTGGGTTGGGTCCTTGCCTGAAGTGGTTCCCATGAGCCTACAATCCATCATTCAGATTATTTACTTAAACGATGAGAACAAATGGGTCGGACAGAAAGTGACTCAAAGCACAATAAATGAGGACAGCAGCACAGAGAAAGGAAGAGTGAGATGGAGGGAAACGCAGAAAAGTGGAAAGAGGGAATAATGTGGAGAAAGAGAGCAGGCTAGAAGGAGAGGTGGGCTGGGCTTGGCATGTGGACAACGTGTTCTGTGGGAGCTAGAAGACAAGGTTGTTCAAGGTCTTTCGTTATGTTTGATGGGTTACAGTGGGATGGTCTTTACAATTTATATGTCTAGTTGCTGCCCGGCAATGATGCACTGAAACACAATCTGTATCTGTGCGTGTGTTTGAGCATGCCTCTTCTTTACTGATATGTCAAGTGTGAACAGCCTTGTGTTGTTGCCTATTATGTTAGTTTCCTCCAAGGTCCAGGTCTCTCGTGTCTCATTGCATTTGTCACAGTTTGTTGCCTTGAATACGTCAGCAAAAACCATTACTCTGGAGTCTGGAGAGCATGTTTAATCTGAGACGAATTGCATGCCCGCTGCCTTGTATACAGTAGATGAAGCTCAGAATGGCTTCATTTCTGTGCCTGACACTTTCTGCCACTTGAAAGAGCCGATTTCTGGAGAGTGAGCACAAGATGTAAAAATACATTTTACTGCCACCATTGCAACGACTTTCTGTTTTGTTTTGTTCCCCACACTGTAAAGTGTTTTAGCAAAGTACTGCACGTAAATGTTGAGTATCTCTATGGGACGGATCTGTCCTGATGGGGCTGTATATGAATCTCCATATGCTTGGCAGGCATAAGAACGAGCCATGTCAGAATAGGTCGATGCCTGCCCTGGGTCACACTCCAGAAGCCTCTTAGCGTGTTTCCATCATATGGTGTCTCAGAAGGCATCAGTGAGTTTGTGTGTGAGTGCTTTTTTTTATTTTTTTGCACATTTCCAGTGATGGTGAACTGGATCTTCGAGTAAATTAATCAGATCTACTTTGTGGTTTCACCTTTTTTTTGTCATCATCTCTTACTACTTCATCTTTGTGTCTTCTGCGGAAAGTAATCGTATAATCATATCTGCTATTTGGTTTCCCCGTTTTGATTATCATCTTTAGCTGATTTGCTACAGCTGCACTTGTAGTATTTACATGCTGCAGAGGTGAAATGTGAACATTGATTTCAGTTACTGCTTAGAGCTGATAGTCTCTAGTCCTGCAAGCCTGGCAGCAAGTATAAAATAAGATGAATGTGATGGAAACTGTAATGCAATTACAAATGACAAATCGCATCCTACAAATTTCTGGCTCAGCAGTATTATACTTGCACACAGCATGCACTCAGATGCTTTTATTATTTCCAAGAATGTGAACCAAATTTGGATTTGTTTAGGTTGAATGCTGATTAAGTGTCCGGTGATTGCATGATTGGATCCAGATTCACAAAGGCAGACATCCATTATTGTGACAGCATTGTGTTGGAGGGAGAATCCAACTAAAGAAAACTGGAGTAATAATCCTCAGTGATCCTTCAAACTATCCCAGGAATTTTGTTTTTGTACGTTGATAACATTAGAAACTTGGGGAGGTCACTGTGCTAGTGAAATGGAAACCTCAGCTTCTTGGTGTTTAGTTCTTTTTTTGACTCTCATTTAGACCATCACAACCGCCCCCTTCATTTTTCCACTGCACAGCTTCTCTTTGGTAGGTTAATCATTCTTCCAGTGTTATTTAAGTCAGCCCATACTGAGCAGAACGTTCACAAAGCTGTTAAAGCATTACCAGTGAAAGCTGTTTTCCAATCAAACTCAACGGTTGTCCAGTGTGAAGTCGGGTAGATGAAATGCACTGGACATGATGTAAAGCATATCTGGTTCTAACTGGGATATAAGAAATGGAAATGCACTAAAAAAAGCTTTTACTGCTTCCTCTTTTGACTCAGCCTCTTTGATGTTTTCTTTTATGCACTCGTCCTATTTGTGCCCTTTCAAATTTTCCCATTATAAGCAAATACATCAAAAATAATAGTCCATTATTGACAGTACAGTAGCTAATGGCTGGAAACGGTAGTGTATCTTAAGACAAAGCAAAGCTATTATCTTGTGCAAAAGACACTGACGAATCAATTACTTCAAATGCATCAACTCAGTTGTGTTTACTTCTTTCTTCTGCCTTCATCAGGAATAACTTTCCAGTTTTTTTTTCTTTCTTCATTATAGTTTTCTTATGGTGTGTATTATTTTTTCATGCACCATGATTGGTTTAGAGCTAGTTTAAGAGGAAGTGTTTGCTTTTTGTCGCAGGAGGCATTTCCCGTTTCCTTAAACACTGGTATTAGCTTAGATAACAATATAGCCATCCATTGTTGTGAAAGTGAAATGATGAAGGTCTGGTTTAAAAGTACAAAACATAAAGTGGTTGTCTTTTGTTCAGGAAAAGTGTTTGAATTTATGCACTATTATTGGTTGGTACAACTGAGCAAGTGACATTTCTTTCTTTCTTTATTTCAAAAAGAAGTGCTTCTTTGCTGCATTTAAAGCCAAAACATCTCATTTTTGCTTTTGTTCTTCCCTCATTTTACAGTGAATGAATATGTATTCATGGTTCAAGCCAGGGGCATCCAAATCAGAGAGAACGTAAAGAACATTGGAGCTCAGGTTCTGGAGCAGGTGGTGAGAGGGGCCTACAGCATCAATGGCACAGGTAAAAATATGAATGAGCATGCATATACAAATACGTTGGGAATTCATAGAAGGGATATCTGTACTAAAATGATACATCGTTCTGCTCAATTCTGCACAGTGAAAGGGAAATAAATCAAAACTCCCGCTGATGTCACATTGATACAAGTTCATTTATCTTTGCAGATTATCCCTATGATTTCAACTTCAGTGAGAGTGATGCTCCTCCCACTACATACCTTCCTGAGGGGTTCACATACCTTCCTTCACAAGTTTGCCCTGAGAAGCTGCCCTCAATGAGTAAGTTTTTTTTTTGTTTTTTTGTTTTTTTTGAAGTGAGAAAGTATTCCAATTTCACTAAACATGTCTGTTGTTGCAATTAAAAAATGGTTAATAACAAACGAGCTTAATTCAGTTTTAAATCTGTTGTAACAGCACAAGTAAATTCTCCAGGTTACTCAGCTGTTACACACTTTGATATTTTCTGTCGCCTTACATGGACCTTTGTTTCTATCATTCCTGACTTGACTGTTTTCCTCCTACTCACATGACTCTCCTCCTTTCTCAATGCCATGACCTTTTCTCCCCTTATAAAATCTTTGACTTGTTTTTCTTCTTTCCTTTTTTTTTCTCCTCTTCTTTTTTCACCCTTTGTCTTTTTCTCCCACACTCAGAGGGCAGGTTGGAGGTGAATATGAGTGAAATATCTCTGGAGGACATCGAAAGGTCCTCGCTGGAGCGAGAGCCCAGCATGGCCCCAGGAGGCTTCTGGAAGCCCAAAGACTGCTTACCTCGCTGGAAGGTAAGTTCTGTGTGTGACGCTGTTAAAAGCAGAGCGGGTTGACAAGCATGAACAGCCTGGCCAGTGGGGTAACAACAGCATGATTGTGCCATATAGAGCGCAAAAGGTTCCTAAAGGCCTCTGGCAGATTGGAGCAAAGTGTCTTACAGGAGAGTTTTGGGGAAATGATGTTCATCTTTTCTGTAAAGGCTGCTGTTTGAACATTTTGTTTGTGCTGAATTATACTGACAAGTAGTCCTGTTTTCTTATGTTTATTTTCTCTGATGCAACTCTTAAAATGCACAAGAAACCCAGGCATCCTTATTGCGTCACGATGGTAAATTTTGAAAATAGTCTGCAAAGGGTGCTTTTTAATAGCCTTCCCTATTTATTCTGCAATGTGGAATGATGTGGCTGCTCTTTTTTGCCACACAAAAGAGTGTACTAGTACTTGCAATGACCAAGAAGTCAGCAAAGCAATTTCACCCTTTTCTTGCCCCTAAATGCTGCATAGCTGAATATTTTTTTAACCCGCTCTCCTCTACTACAGCTGGCTTTTGATTTGTTAAATCCACGCATTGTTACAGTTCAGTGAATGGAAAAAAAAAAAACACATCTCAAACATTAAGCACCTTAACGGTTTTCTCACTGATGCATATCTGAGCTTATTGTAAAAATTACTATAGATTGAATAAATTCAGTTCATTTTATTTTTATTGTGGCAATTCACAACAAAAGTCATCTAAGGCCATATACAGAAAAACAAATCTAAATCCTAAATTCATTTAGTCATTTTATTCCAATTGTACAAGAGAATCCAGTCTTTCCCCTAGATAACTTACCGTGGCGGGGCGCTCATCTCGTCCGTGATTTTTGTTGTTGGGGGGCGGGGGGAGAGACACAGAGATACGTCCTAAGCTGCGCAGCGCGCTGTTTAAACAGTTTAGGGGTGGGGTGGGGGGGTGGGGGCACAGAGACAGCCGCACGCTGTTTGCACCGACAGTTTTAGAGCAGGGTGTGTGAGATGAGAGAGACGGAGACATCTCAGCCGCACGCTGTCTGAACCAACAGTTTTTTTGGGGGTTTTTTTGGCGGGGGCAGAGACAGACTCACATCTGAGCCGTGCGCTGTTTGTACCGACAGTTTTCGAGTGGTGGGGGTGCCCCCATCAACAAAAATCACGGACAAGACGAGCGCCCCGCCATGGCAAGTTATCTCGGAAATAGGGATGGGGCCGATCCGATCCAGTAACTGTGTCGGCCTCCGATACCAGCATAATTTACGTATCGGATTTTTCCGATCCATGATGCATGTTTGTGGTTGCGCTGCACGTTGGCTTCAAACTATGGAATGGATTTCCTGAACGGCGGCGTGTCTCATGAACCCAGAGTAATAAGACCCGCCTCACATTCAGGAAATCCAGTTCATAGTTTGCAGCCAGCTACAACGTGAGGGCTGAGTTAGCAGCACTGTGGCTAACAGCTAGCCAACTTTTCATCTAAACATGTCCGCTGTGTGGAAGTATTTTACACTAGAAACACCACAAAACAAGACAACAACGTGCAATGGCTGCAGAGCCATAGCGCCACATTAAACCACGGTAAAGTTAGTTTTACGTTGGACATTCGAGCTCCGTGGCTTCAGCGGGGTGCTACTCTTGGCTCAACCCAAAACGGGCAGCTCAACCCAAAACGGGCAACTCAACCCCGGCCAGCCGCGTCCAATCTGCCCCGCTGAATCTGCCCGTCTCTGAGGAGGGACAGACTGAGCGTGGCTGACCAAAATCAGGCTGCCTGCTTCGGATTAAACAAGAAGAAGACATCGCTGAAGCAACGGCGCTCAAATGTTTACAGAGAAGTTGCTAAACTTCATCTTAATTAATGACCAACCACTATCAGTTGTAGAAAACGAAGGATTTGTCAGCTTGATACTTGCAGCCAAGATATAGTTTACCCTGCAGGAGATATTTATCAGTACAACAGTAGACAATCATAAAAAACATGATTTGAAAATTATATATATTAAAGAAAAAACAAAACAAAAACAGCTACATTATAAAGTGAAATAAAATACTAAAAACAGGAACATGTCTGTTGGTTTATGCCATGAACTTAGCAGATGTTTGAAGCCATTTAACATTTTATTTTATTAATTTATTCATTCATTTAAAAGAAACAAAATAAAAAAAATATAATAATCAAAAAGAAAACATTGAATGAAAAGAGTGCAGAAAGAAGAAAAAAAAATTCTTATACCTGCCCCTTATTTAAAAAAAAAAAAGATAACTTTAAACAATCACTTAAATTAATCACTTTAATATCCACTTTAAAGCTAGGAATAAAAAAAAAAAACATGTTTTGTGTTAGCAGAATTTAAGTCTAACTTTAAAACTTATCCAACATTAATACAACTTACCTCAAGTTGACTTTTGGACATGCATGCATATATTTGTACAAATTGTACTTGAGAGATTATTACAGCCTCATTAAATCAACGATGAGAAGGATATCGGAATGGATCGGTATCAGCCAATATTCAGATTTAGGTATCTGGATCGGATCGGAAGTGTAAAAAAGTGGATCGCTGTATCCCTACTCAGAAACACTGAATAATAAAATAAATATAACGCCGCTACTTTGCCTATTTTCACCTGCCACAGGGTCTCTGGAACATAACCCCCGAGATAGGTGAGGGATCACCGTATAGAGCAGGGGTCACCAACCTTTTTGAGACTGAGCTACTTCAGTGGGGCCAAGAGACACAAAGGGCTGCTTGTTCGATCCAAACAAATTTGCACAGCTCACCTTTAATTATAGTATTAATAATAATACATTTACACACGTGAAAACATGACTGCCTGATCACATCTGATCTGTATTATTAAAGACTCCACACAATGATTATCAGTAAGGATTTAGCTTGGTAAAAATGATCAATTTTATTATTAATAATTAGTGATTAGAACACTCATTCGAGAACTTTAGTCCACAGTTTGAATCCTTTTTGGGCTCTTCTGACTGTAAATTGTTCCTAGCTTGTGACAGGGACTGTGGATGGTTGTTCGTCTCTTTAGCCCCTTTTCCATTAGTACCTGTAGTACTGGTACAGCACGGCTCTACTCTACTCGCTATGGTAGTCTATTGCCCCTTTTGCACTGCCCCTAATCAGCCCCAACTCTGCTCAGCCCTGCACACCCTACTCAGCCTGGCTCAGCTCAGCCTGGATTTGCACCTGCACTTTAGGACCGATTCTGGAGGCGTGTCCAGAATCCAAGTCCTGCTAATGAGAGTTCTGCTTCGAGTTACTCAAAGCAGTCTGCTCCTCAGATAAATAATATTAAATTATTATTTTTATATACGAATGTTTCTGTTAACTTATTTGTTAACTCATTTTTTTTTTTATACATAAAATGTTTTTTTTTAAAAAGTTTCCACCCTCCGTCCCTCCATCTCGGTCCTCCCGCCTGCCGGGGCTCGGGGTCCGGCCTCGCGGGCTTCAGCAGCTCGTATGATCCTCCGCGGTGACACTGCTCGCTCGAATTTTGTCGTCGGTCACCAAACACAAAAATCGCCTGGACTTCAGAATTAAACACGGCGTTGTCATTATTGTTTTTAAAATCTTAAAAATAGATCCAGCCGCTGCTCCGCATCCAGAGAAATTGCAAATGGCGGATCAGTGAAAAGTTTCTGAGATCCAGTGACTCCTCCCCCTGACCAATCAGAGTCCTGCATTCACGTTTCGGTCCGGACTCAGCTCGACTGAGCTCGCTCGGTCCCACCAGAGAAGCAGGGACGAAAAGAGGTCCTGAACCAGCCTCAAATCAGCTAAAAATACTGGTGCAAAAGGGTTCTTTCTGTGGCGGGCTGCCCAGAATTGGGGCTTCTTAGGGTCATATCATGCAAAAGGGGCATATGTCTCTGTGATGGACTGAAGACCTGTCCTGGCTGTCCCCTGCCTTCACCCAAAAGCACCTAAGATTGGCTCCAGTCCTAAACAAAAGGGCATGATGTATGACTTATTAACTGATATAAACATAAAACACTATTTATTTTATGTTGATCTCAATCTGTAACATTTGAAATTCAGTGTATTTTATAAACACAAAGTTTGTTTTCTCAGTCATCCAAGTATATAACAACAAAAAAGGTTGAATCATGTCATCTGGACTTCGTTTTTTTTGTTAAAAAGAAACGTTTCGCCCCTCATCCAAGAGGCTTCGTCGGTCTGAGGCCTAGCCATCTGGTATTACCCAGAAGCCACCCTGACTCTTGTGTTCCAAGCCTGCCTCAGATACCCCTGAAGTCTGGCCTTTTCACTAATGGTTTCAAAAACACAAAGTTTGTTTTCTCAGTCATCCAGGTATATAACAACAAAAAAGGTTGAATCATGTCATCTGGACTTCGTTTTTTTTGTTAAAAAGAAAAGGCCAGACTTCAGGGGTATCTGAGGCAGGCTTGGAACACAAGAGTCAGGGTGGCTTCTGGGTAATACCAGATGGCTAGGCCTCAGACCGACGAAGCCTCTTGGATGAGGGGCGAAACGTTTCTTTTTAACAAAAAAAACGAAGTCCAGATGACATGATTCAACCTTTTTTGAGTGTATTTTATAGTTTTATTAACTGTTTTGTAGGAATGAACACATTTGGAACATTCATTCAAAAATATGCCTTTTACTATTAACAAATCTGTAGCATTTTTTAAGAACCTATTAAGAATAAAATCTTCCAATCAAGCCCTGTTTGCACTAACTGTTGTGTTTGTAACATTTCAGAATAACTAACTCTTGCAGATACAAAATATCAGTAATGTAATGTAATAAACCAACTGACATTTTTAAATGAATCGTGACATTAGTATTGATCCTCAGATCTGCAACATTTTTATTAATAATAATAATAATAATACTTTATTTATAAAGCCCTTTTAAACAACCACAGCTGCAACAAAGTGCTGAACACATAAAATAATTTTAACTAATCATCGCATCTTTTGCTCTTTTTAAATAAATTATTTGTCACATATTTCATCATTGCTTCTTTTAAGAGCTCCATACCTGAAAATGCCTCATGAAAAACATCTGCCTGCTCAAAGTTGCCTTTAACTCTGACATTCTTCTGACTGTTGTGAGCCACCAGGGGGCTAGTTAGCATTGAAGCTAGCATGTTAGCTGATGAATTGTTGCTCCACCTTGTTTTGCTGTCGCCACAGCTCACTAATGAGACACAGACACACTTGTCTTTCAGCACTTTTAAAGACCTTCTCCTCCCAGTCACTGTGCAAATGTGTTTTCTTATGTTTTTCTGCCATTTGGGAGGTAAAACTAGCTTGTAGTTGCGCCGGTGAAGAAATGGGAGTGGTCTATACATGATTCTGAACTTTGACCCCAGACAAGATTGCTGAACTGTATACATAAAACTATTTCTTTTTTAAATTTGTATTAATCATTTTCATTTCAAATATACATCCTTGCAAATGTCATTTCTTAAATTTAAAAATATAATTAATGATGATTTTTACGTGCTTGATAATGAGTGCTATTTTTAGAGCATGCCCCGCAGGCGAATCAAGAGGTCCCTGCGGGCGACCAGGTGCCCACGGACACCATGTTGGTGACCCCTAGTATAAAGGAATGACTTTTAACAAAAATAACCCTCTAGCCAGAACCAGACTCAGGAAAACCTGCTCCAGAGCGCTCTTGGCCTCCGACTGGAGCGACGGTTCATTTTCCAGCAGGACAATGACCCAAATCACTTGACCAAGATCTCAAAAGAGTGGCTTCAGGACCACTCTGTGATGGTCCTGGAGTGGCCGAGTCAGAGTCCAGACTTTAATCTGATTGAACATCTCTGGAGATATCTGAAAATGGCTGCACAGACATCTCCCATCCAACCTGATGGAGCTCGAGTAGTACTGCAAGGAAGAATGGGAAAAAACTGTCCAAAGATAGGTGTGCTAAGATGTTGCATCATATTCAAAAAGACTTGAGGCTGTAATTGCTGCCAAAGCTGGATCAACAAATATTAAGCAAAGGCTGTGAATACTCATGTAAATTTGATTTTTTTTGTTGTTGTTTTCTATTTTTAATAAATTAGCAAAAATCTCAAAAAATATTTTTTCACATAGTCATAATGGGATATTGTGTGTAGAATGTTGATGAAAGAGATTAGTTTAATACAATTTTGAATAAGGCTGTAACATAACAAAATGTGGAAAAAGTGAAGCACTGTGAATTCTTTCCAGATGCACTGTAAGTCCTCCAGCAGTCTAAATAAGGAAACCCAAGTTTACCCGAACTGTAGGATTTATCAAAAAGGAAACTTTTAAATGGAAACAGACCAACACTGAAAGTTGGTTCCAGAAGAGAGGAGCCTGAAATCTAAAAGCTCTGCCTCCCATTTCACTTTTAAAAACTCTAGGAACCACAAATAAACCATAAGTAAACTTGTCCTTTGCTTGCTGCAAGTTTTCTAGTAACTTGTAGGTTTTAGTGCTCTCTTTACCCACTATCCCATTTACCTCCTGCTAAGAGATTAGCTCTCAGAATTATCTGTTTTGAGCAAATTGTACACTTCCTCCACAGTGTGCATCAAACTTCTCCATGACTCTGTCTGTGTACAAGTTTGTTTGTTTTTTCCTCTATGACCACATTTTGTTTCATCCTTGTATTTTTTTCTGTTTTGTGTCCCCAGGTGGCAATTCTTGTTCCGTTCAGGAACCGACATGAACACTTGCCCATACTCTTGAGACACCTGGTGCCTGTGCTGCAGAAGCAGAGACTCCAGTTTGCCTTTTATGTCATAGAGCAGGTATGTCTGCACACATACATGACATCACCTGTTTACATTCAAACAAACGGAATAAGATAACTTTCCCACCTGAAAATGGGCCGAAACTGGATAAATGACTGGAACAACATACAAAGATCACAAAATGAGAAGTTTGGTTTTGTTTTCTCTTTTATTAGGGAGGTACAGAACCATTTAACCGAGCCATGCTGTTTAACGTGGGCTTTAAAGAGGCAATGAAAGACTTGGACTGGGACTGTCTGATCTTCCATGATGTGGACCACCTCATGGAGAATGACAGGAACTACTACGGCTGTACAGACATGCCTCGACATTTTGCAGTCAAACTAGACAAGTATTCCTACATGTGAGTGAATATTCCATCTTTACCAAACTTTACAGGAACTGTTCTTTTTTTTTATTTTCTCTCAAAGTGACCTTTGATGTTTGTAACTGTTTCTGCAAGGCTTCCTTATAACGAGTTCTTTGGTGGTGTCAGTGGCCTGACAGTGAAACAGTTCAAGAAGATTAATGGCTTCCCTAATGCGTTCTGGGGCTGGGGAGGTGAGGACGATGACCTCTGGAACAGGTGAGAGGAACTTCTAAACACAAACCGACACTGGCTTGTCTGAAGGAGCTGCAGCACATGGCCACCTTCCTTGTTGGCTTTAGATGATTGCATGATAAGTTGGCATGTAGCAGGCTATTGTGTTAACTGTTTGTTATCCTGCATTTGTCTTGCATCACTATAACATACACGCTTATACACGTCACAGGCAGCTGCACACATACAAGGTTGTCCGTACACTCTGCCAACTTTTACTGAATTATTTTTGCATTTGCTTATGCCTCATGCACACATTTATTGTGACTGGACCGCTGTATTGAAGAGTTGCAGTACGATAGCACAGTTTTATATGGAAATGTCCCAGCGAGAGTCATTACGACGTTTTCTTTTCTGCCTGATTGTGTACGTTACGGATTAATGAGCCTTAAATATGTTTGTACAGGGTGCAGTTTGCCAATTATACTGTAAGTAGGCCGCAAGGAGACCAAGGACGCTACATGTCAATTCCCCATCACCACCGCGGGGAAGCCCAGTTCCTAGGAAGGTTAGTGTTCGTGTGCGCACAACTCACTCACGCACACAAAACACAACCCACGAGTGTTTGGTGGATGGAGGGAGCTGATAACTGCAATAAGGCTTTGGCTCATGTGATGTAAGCCAGTCACATGAAAAGCTAGAGTGGTGATTCTGAGGAAATTCAGCTCTTTTAAATACTTTGCATGTGATCATGTGCTTGAGTGTTTCAGGGTTGGATTCTTAAGTCATTAAAAAAAAAAACATCTAAAGGATTTGATGTTCCTTTGGTTTTTGTTGATGCAAACTTTTAAAAAGTGTATCAGTTAAAGATGAACGCTGTTTGTGACTGAATTCACCTAAAGCATATTTTGTGAGATTGGATGAGTCATTGTAGTATGTATGAATGTATAAAAAAAATATTTCTAATAGTGGGAAACTTTGCCATTTAACTTCAGCTCTTTAAACCACAACTGTATTTCTCACAGCAGCAGCCAAATTCTGATGAAACCTGTTCCTCCACATCATGCCTCAGTGTTCACCGGTGCTCGAGTGCTATTTATTTTGGCAGTTTTCAAGTGCTTTCTCTTTCCTCTTCCAATGTATTCGTCTGCATCTTTGTACCTTCAGGTATACTCTTCTACGTCATTCAAAGGAGAGACAGAAAGTGGACGGTCTTAATAACTTAAACTACTCCCCGCTGGTTTCCAGAAGTCCAATCTACACCAACATCACAGTCAGCCTGAGCAGAAAGCTCGCACCCGTAGCTGACTACTGACGAAGACAGAGCTGGACTGCAAAACACCTGGGAATCAAAGTCCTCTGGGACATCAGCCATATCTCACCAGTTGCAGCACTGCTTTAGGACTTTTAAGTTGAGACCTTTTTTTTTGTTTGTTTGTTTGTTTTTGCTTTGTTTTTGTTTGTATGCAAAGAGAAAAAAAGAAGAAAAGAAAATGGAGACTCAAATTATTATGTTTGATAAATCGTAAGAAAATAGGGATAAATGCTGCACTTATTCGTGCCACAGTTCATCACTCTTCTCATCTGGGCTTGTCTACACTTCAGTCTCCACATGCCTTTTGCACCATTTTGGCCTTCAGCATCCATTCCTCAAGTGTTTTTATTTTAATTTAATTTTGTTGAATATTCTTGCAGTGATTAGCTCCGCCCTGCACTATTGTGCTTGACTACTAAAATAGGTTACGACACACAATCGAGCACAGGCCACACATTCACTCATACAAGAGTATGACCCAAACATGCTGACATGATCCTGGGATTTGGATTTATTTAGTTAGTTTTTGCTTATTTTTTAATTTTCTGCTTATTTCATAAATGCAGTAGAACCTGTGAAAACATTTGCATGGAAACATACCATTAGACCGCCACACAGCAACTTCAAGCGAGTGGACCCATGCAGCTGGTTCTGTATAAGGTATGCCAAATCCACAAGTGAATATAGTAAGAAAAGATGATATATTGTATGTGAAATAGTTTATTCTAAGTTCAGCGTAAGTCTTTAGTCATCTCTTCATCCATATTTTGTCCATTTGAAGACTGTGATGTTTGCGTTTGCATAGTCGCATTGAATGTTCTGGCTGCCTGCAAGTGGCTGTACGTTGGAGTGCATTGCTCATCCTGTTAGCAATAAGCTGTAATATCAGACAGCAGAAATTAGCCCTGACTTCCTTATTGTACAGATGCAATAGCATGGGTGCTAGCATTACCCATCCCCTCCCCCCCTCCCCCCATTGGACTAAAAAGAGAGAGTGACTGTGTATGCAAACTTCACATCCAGCTCAACTTTGCCTAAGCAAACGTGCCGCCCTTTGAAGAACGTGTTTGTGTGTTCCTGCGTGTACCTGTCTGTGTGCAAGTGAGGGCGAGCTATGCAAATGGCCTGCATGAATCTCGTCGTCTGTGCAAGCTTATCGGGGTGACCTGCAGGAGACGTCGTCTCTAAACTCGGACAAGACTGACTTCAGACCTCACTTTGCGTGTAAATCCAGGCCAGGAAAGAGAAATACTATAGTTGCAGGTGTAGTTTTTTTTTTTTTTTTTTTTTAGATTTCACAATCTAATGTTTACTCATCTTCATTTATTTATTTTTTATTTTTTTTACAGAAGAGAAATGAAGGTAGAAAATACTTGATTGCTGGCTCTGTCAGTGGTGTTTACAGAAGCTGTTTGCTTTATTTTCCAGGTTGTCTAGTGTTTGTACTACAGTTAGCCAGCCCTCCTCCACCCAGGCTGCTGTGAAAGTTGTATATCTCTTCAACAATCAAGCTTGTGGCTGCCTTTGTTCCTTTTTTGTTTTTTTTTAAACTGACGTTTGCTTGCAAAGAAAAAAAAAATCCCAGATATGAGCACTCATCACAAATCTGAGTCGTAACCACTGATGAGGTTAGCGTTGAAGCTTTGGCTTTAGATTTTTTTTGTTTGAATTAGATTTAGACAAGTTGATTTGGGTAGATTTTTATTTTTTTAACGATTGAGGCATGCAGCCTTACACTGTGCTTTGACACAGACTGACAACCCTCTGGTATACACAGCAGCTCCTCTCTAATACTGTATGTGTTTAACAGTGTTGAATATTGGGTGGAACAGCCCAGTACTTAAAACGTAGTTCCTTAAAAAAAAAAAAAAATCATACCAACATGTTCTCCTCACTGTCTGTCCTCTGGTCATGCAGCTACTTCTTTTCACACAAATCGCCTTGTATGCATTTCTTCAGATGTATCTTTTTTTTTTTTTTTTTTTTTGGTAGACATGTGAGTGAATGACAAACTGTTGTGTTTCAACAATGAAATAAGAGGCTGGACCTCGCTCTATTTATTTGACAGATTTAATTTCCTTAACTGTTCACAGTTTTTTTTATTTGTTTCTTGCGATTGACGTGATGACAGGAAGTGACATATGACAGACTGTGTTTGATGCACTGAAACTTAGCTGTGTGTGTGTGTGTTTGTGCGCGATCGTAAGGTTTTTCTGTTCTGCGTAAACGGTGACAGTCCCATTTCGTTCAGACACGGATTTCCCTCTTCACAAGTGGCAGAAATGGTAATGAAATGGGCTGACACCTGTACTGTAGCCTGGTGTTAATAATCTGAGCAGACATGTTGGGGGAGGCCATTTTGTGTGACAACCACAGGAAGAGCAAGACTCAGAGTGAGAAAATGCTAATGGCCACTGTCTTTCACTGATCACCTCCGTTATACTAACTGATAATCAATGGTGCTCAACTCCCTTTGACAAAACACGATACACACTACAAACAGGCGAAGCATCCTTCAGATGCCATGATGGCTCTGTTTCCACATCTCTTGGACAGAGTGAGATAGTTTCCAGGTCAAGCGTATCCATGTATGTATATGTATACTGTATATAGCTAAAGTTCATTCCCACTAGCCAAGCATGTGCTAACCTTGCTAGTCAACATAGGAGGTGCCCAGTGGAAGTCATGGGACAGTAGCAGCGTTTGTGTTCAGTTTTCTTTTCCATGTGTGTTTGAGTGAAATGGCTAAACCTTATTCCGAGGTCTAACCATCCTCCATCTGCATTATTTCTTTGCGTTTTGTTTACCATCACTGATGAGAACATGGTTGTTAACAACTGGCAGGCTTTCTTTCTAGTTCCTTACATTTACATGATACACTGTATATTATCTTTAAATAAAACAAATTATTTTCTTTGCTTTAAATTAAAAGCTAGTTGGACATAAAGCAAAAGCCAAACAGTTTTGGTAAGAGTATTGAAACTGTGAGAAACTCCTCAATGTAAAGAGGCCCTTCTGATGGTCTCATTGTTGGATCATTCTGTATTATTTTCTACAGTACACAGTGAGCAGCTTTAAGAACGTCTTTTTGTGACTACTGAACAGTTTCGGCCACTACATTACAAACGGGGGTGTGGGTTAAATTTGTCTGCACATTCTTGGTTTTGTTTAAAACGGTAGATCGTTTGGTTTGAGTCGGTGAAAAGAGCACGTATACACGGTCCGAAACCAGACCAAGACTGCTGCTCTCTTAAAAGATAATATTAAAAATTAAAAATAAAAAAATAAAATAAAAAATGGCAAAAGAGGCTTCATCATATCAAAATCCAACCTGTCCTGGTTCATTCTGTGCCAGTTTAAATGAAGGGACCATTCTTTTTTGGGGCATCTGACAAGACTGGCAGCCTTAAAAATAAAAGCTTTTTAATTTATTGCATTTTTATTTTCCATTTGTTTTTATTTTGTTTGTTTTTTTTATAAGCGAAAATATTTAAATTGAGAAAAAAAAAAGTGCATATCAAGATACTGATTATTGTAAATATTGTTGTTGTGTGTAGTGTTTTAGAAATTCTATTAAGGTCTTAAATCACTACAGATGCTAGCATAAAGAACAAAGCTTCGGGAAAAGGGGGGTTGGCTCGGGGATTTAACTGGTGCCATTTTAAGTGCTTGTGGAGCTTACATAGTGACATCAATGTTTTTACATCACTGCTTCCAAGCACAATTTTTTTTTTTTTAAATAAAAGTAAAACATTCTTATCCCATGAATTTTTAATTCCTCGTAACTCCTCAGTCCTCCCCCGTACTCGACTCGCTGTGGCAGGAAGAGACACGCACCCCGACCGGGAGGCTTCCCAGCCAAGTCCCCTGATCCTGCGTGACGTCTCTCTGTGTGTGACAGCGTGGGGGGGGTAAGGTGGAGGTCACAAGAAAGCTTTGATACGTTTTATTTTCTGCCAAAAAATTAAAAAAATATAAGTCTTGCGTTGCACGGTTTAACAAAGGCACCCAAACCAGCGACACAACCCACTCCAAAATTTATCAAATTTTTTTTTGTATGAAACTAAATTATTTAAAAAAGAAAATGCTAAATTTGACACATTTCTTTGATTGTAAGGAGTGAAACTCTCCTTAAATTGAAGCCATTCGAAGCCACTTGTCGAAACTTGATGTCAGCCTTATGTGGAATCTGTTTGTGTATTGGCATATTATCTTTTGATTATTGAAATTTGTATGATGGAGATTTTCTTTTATACCATCATTGTTATTGTCAAGAGTACACCAATAAAACAAAACTTGTAAAGATCAATGCTTTGGTTCACGTTATTTTTTTAACACTTGGAAGGGCAGGCTCGAGTGGTAGTCATTTTTGCATGTCCATGTGTTCTCTGTTAGCAAAATATGTCATGAAGCTGTGAACAGATTTGAGTGAAACTGGATACGTCATTGGATAAACATCTAAACATGATGAATTTTTGGAGTCAATGTTAATTCAAGATGGCTGCCTCACCTAAGCTGAGAGCAGTCCCCAACCATTATTCTAAACATTACCTGATGGAGCAAGACCTGTTTTCAAAATTCTGCCTTTAACTATTGAAGTCAAGTAGTCTGCTAACAAAACTGCTCATTAAACGCTGGATGGATCTGAATAGTTTTCAGGAAATAATCAATGGAGTTGCCCCAATTCAAGATGGCTGCTTAGACAGCCTTTACAAAACACATAAATGGCACTAGTCACTTTTAGCGACTTATTGAAACTGGTCTGGGGGTAGCTGAGCCTCATCCCCAAATCAGACTGAGCATTATTGTGCAACATTTTAATCAAAACACTGGCGACACTTTCATCAACTGTTAGCAAAATATTTCCTGAACCACTGCACAAACTAAAGAAACTAAAGTATGTTTGGGGAGTGGTGGCGCAGAGGTTAGAGAGATGGGCCTGTGATCAGAAGATCGCCGGTTCACGCCCCGGCCCCGACAACATCAAAATTGTGGGTGGGGTCGGTGAAACACCCACACTTGCCCCCACCCTCATTCGCCCCACTCTGGGCCCATGAGCAAGGCCCTTAACCCCCACCATGTGCTCCCTAAACACGTCTCTCTTGAAAATGAGTTTTCGTGGCTCAATGAGACTACCTGGATAAATAAAGGCTAAATGAAAAATGAAAAGAATGTATATGGGGGAGTGGTGATCGGAAGGTCACCGGTTCAACTCCCCGTACTGACATCAAAATGTGGGTGGGAAAGGTGAAACACCCACATCTGCCTC